TCCTGGTCCCAAGTCGAAGAATTCAGAATTACAGCCAGGAGGTTTGATATTGGTGTGAAGGTCTTAATACAGAGCTCAAAAGCCATGCACGAATTCCCCATGAAAACTGAATTTGGACAGGATAAGATCTAAATATGACCATAAGACACTATCAAAAGTTCTGTAAATATCAAGGTTGAGAAAGAGAACTCGACGGGAGAAGATGTTGGAGTCTTGAATAATATTGGTGATATTGAATAATATTCAAGACTAATACGATGTCTGTAATTTGTTCAGAAGATAAAAAACCCATTTAGCCAGTGGATATTAGTGAGGCAATGACGGATGCTATCCAATCAGATGACCAAAAAAAAGTCATTATGTATAATTGAGATTGGGTGATAATTTTGGGGGAGGGTGTGATCCTTATTTAGGGATAAGGGACATGTGCTTGCTAAGAGTATGTCCTCTGGGAATGCATGGCCCTGAAGGATATAGTCAAATATAACTTAGTCATTTTAGGAACCAATTGGGAGGCAAACTTCTTGTACTAAGTCATCCCCTCCCTCCTAGATTGTAAGCTCGAAAGAGCAGGGCCCTCGATCCCCTCATGTTTTGCATTGTATTGGTATTGTTCTGTCACATGTTCTGTCCCCCTTTGTAATGTACAGCGCTGAGCGAACTATTGGCGCTTTATAAATACTGTATAATAATAATAATAATAATAATGGTATACCCATCTGGGCATGGGGCCTTGGAGGGTTTTAAGGAACTAATTATGGCTGTAATTTCATCAGCCATGCATGGAACATTCAGGATCATCTTCAAATTCATGGAACATCTGCTCCCCCAAAAGATATGAAAGATAAAGAGCATCTAACCAGGCTGTGAAAGTGGGAGAAGGCTGAAAGGTTGGGGGGGGGGGGGGGGGGCGGTCTGGTAATATCTAGAGAATATCTGTAAAACATCCTTATGATGAGAGACAACATTCCTGTGTGCATCACAAAGTTTGTACACATGTGATGGCTGGAGGGACTGGCTCAATTTCCTAGTGAACATGGTAGAAGTGGAGTTGCTGTGTAATAAACAACATGCCTTAGACCATCTTAAAGATTTTCTGTTTGTTCAGATAATAAAATGTTCAACACAATTTGTTTTTGGTTAATCTACCTGAGCAGGTCTGAAGAATGAGTTTGTTCATCTACAGGTAGGTGATATACCGTATCTTATCAAGATCCCAAGTAAGAGTGCAGATCTCTGCTAACATTTCCTAGTAGTTGACAACTCTATCAGATTCCCTCTCAACACAGCCTTATGGGCTGACCACAGTGAGGTGGGAGGAGTACCATCTAAATCATTAAGTCAGAAATACTCCTCCAAACTGTCATAGATCTGGGCTATCAAACCCAGGTCCATAAGGAAGGAATCATTCAATCTCCATGCAAAGGCAATGGGGGTGAGACAGATATGAGATGTAGTCAAGTAAATCTATAGCTGCTGATAGATGTATTAAATCTATAAGATGGTGTGATCTGATCAGTTGTGTAAATATTTTAGGGAATGCATTAGCAGTACTTGGCTTCTATCGAGTTTAGAATGTGCCACCAAATTAAAGTCTCCTTCAACCACTAGTTGCGTAGAATGATATTTATCCAAAACCTGAAAAGAGAAGACTTAAAAAAGAGGCTTGAAAGTTGTTAGGGGTGTACACATTCGTAAGTGTAATTGCACGACCCTGTATAGAGCCTTGGATAACCAGAAAACAACTATCAAGCTCTTTATATACATGTTTCACTTCAAATAGCAGAGAGTTTTTTATTAAAAATAGCCACCCCATGAAACTTGGGTTCAAAGGTGATAAAATAATGTCGTCTATAAAATCTATCAAAATAATTAGGGTGATTGGGCAAGGAAAAATGTGTCTCCTGTAAGAGGAGAACATCTGCCCTCAATCTTTTATAAAAGCGGAAAGCTTTTTTCCTTTTATAACCCATTAGAAAATCAGAGGTAAAAGGGATTAGGGGGTATGGATGGATTGGGGCATCATGCATCAGAGCCTTGGTATATACTATCCCAGGAGACCAGTGAGAAAAGTCTGCAAGGGCTTTGAGCAGATTATGATCCAGGTCTGTGGGATCACAATTGCAGAGTTGCTTAGTTACATTGCAGATAGTAAAACACAGATAGATCCTAAACAGACAAAGTAGTGAAGTTTCAGAGACTTAGGAAACTGTGATACACCAAATTCTATAGAACCAGTTTGTATGCATACAAACAAGAAAAAAAAAATAAAATGTTAACCATAATATCTTACATGTGAAGTCACCAGGGAGTGAACACTCTACCGATCTTAGAACAGATAAACATGGACTAATAACTTCAATACTCTTTCATGTATCCATTCCAAGTCCACTGGTACAGAAAAACTTATGAACACCAGATGCATCTTGAGTTGTAGTCAAAATAGTGACCATGATTAAAATCTTATACCAGCTTAATCACCAGGCTGTGAAAGTGAGAGAGTAGGGGAGAATCTAAAAACAACAAGACTTAACCTCATAAAAGGTAAACATCAGAAAGCTTGACATGCTAATGGATATCACCACTCAGAGAGATAATAAGACGGAAGAGTTCATACTGCAACAAAGAGTAAGACGGTCAAATCCTGGAGATCATAATGTTGTCTCTATGGTCTTGACTGTGACAGGGGTTGCCCCAGATGGGGGATGGGGTGAAGAGTGGATGGCAAATGAGGCACTGTATCTGGGGTGAGAGGGCCCAAATAAATTTATAAAGTTAGGCCTGCAGTACACTAGGGTGCCTTGAAGTAGCCCTGCAGCTTACGCATATATTTGCAAATGTGTACAAACTAAACTCCTGGTTTTAAACGTGAACTATTAGACACAACAATTTGGTTTGTTGCAGGCTGGCTACAGCCTAAGCCTGGATTTTTCTTTGTCTTTGTTTGAGAAGTCCCAAATTAATCAGCAGCTCCTTCCCCTCAGAGATAGTTGTGACCATATAAGAGAGTTGTGACCATATAAGTGGAACTGTTTTAGGGTACCATTAATTATAAAGTAAAACCCCATCTGTAAGGTATTCTAGCTGTTTGCAGAACCAAACTGATTTATTTCATCTTGCATCACTTCTCCAGGGTTGCAAGATATGCCCAGAAAGAGCTGAAATGTAACCCTCTCTAGCTAAATGTTAGGGCTATTGTGGGAGGCATGGAGTATCTCCTCTTTAACAAGAAACTCTTTAAGGCAAAATATGATATCCTTTGGAGGTTTTTCCAGGGGTGCCTTGGTAAATCCTGTTGCCTGCAAAAAAGGCAGCAGGGATATCAGAGAGCAGGGATTGAAACACCTTAGTAACAGTCAGAAACAGATCAGTGATTATCTCTGGGACTCCCTAAACCTGGAGGTTGCTGCACTTGTTCCTGTTACCTACATCTTCTAAATGTGCCTTCAGTTGTGGAACAGTCTCAGAAAATGTCTTGTAGTCTTTTCTGAGGTCGATATAGGCTAAGTTAAGTTGCAGACATAATCCTGGCGTAATTTTTTTCAGAGCAAGTGATAAGCGTTACTGTAAAAGTGATCAAGTGGCTGTACAACTACCCAATTAATTTTACAGGGCTAAGAAGGGGGTCAGCCCCCTGCCACTGCCTGCCCCTGTTCCTGAGTTTTTCCATTTCTATCAGGGATCCTGGGGTTGCTAAAAGTGGTCAGGTTAGCAGTGCACAGAGAAGAAGGATAAACATCCATTACTCCCCCTTCTCTGTGATGATTGAAGCTGGAAGTGATGAGGAATTGGTCACTTCTTGCTTTGGTTCTGTGTTTACCTGGCAGGTAGCAGTCAGGAAAGTAAAAAGTCAAACCAACCTGTTTTGATTGGCTGTTTTGGAGGGCAGATGGGGGATCAATTTTCTAATAAACCCCACATTTCTTCATACAGAAGACCAGTCACTGCCTAAGCTATCACAAGAGATGCTTTTCAATCACTTCAAGTTAAGTGAACAAAAATAACTTTAAATAAAATAAATCAGAACATTTAAAAGAAAAAAAAGTACATTTCCCCTGTTTACCCGTGTTCACATGCAAATACAAATGCTCACATAGGTCCCGCATGCATATGTGAACAGTGAATTCACCACACGTGAGGTATCTATGTGAACGTCTGAGTGAGAGCAATAATTGTAGTGTCAGAACCCATTAAGAATATTGGATAAATAAAATTCAATGGTAATGTACTTTTTTTAAGACAAGATTGCACTAAGACATTTTACTATTGTATGCTTTGGTGATCCCCAGTATTGTAGCAGCAAACATTATATATTAAGGGTAAACATAGAACATAGAACTTGGGCACAGGAAGAGTCAGTTTACAAAAACACATACACTGAAAGAGTAAATAAATAACTGGCTCACAGACATATAGGGCATACAGACACATAGAGATATATAGAATGTAGAACAGAAGAGTATTCAAAATGATAAAAACAATTATATTGATAATATCTAGTGCAATAAGGTAGCTGATTATATTTTTAGCTGTTTTGTTCTGAACATACTGTATTAGGTCATTATGTATGCTTTACTTTAATTGAGTTCTGTGGAAGAGGGTCTGCTTACTGTAATCATATTAGTTCCAGTAAGAACCATTGGAAGCCCTTGTCATAGGCAGTACTCTGACAAGTAGAAAAGTTTGACGCTCTTAGTGCAGTTCATTGTTAGAGACACCTGTAACTTGACCTCCAGCTCAGTATAGAATTCTTGGTACGGAAGCAAGCCAAATACAAGAAAATGGGAATTAGTGGTTATGAGATATTCCATTTATGACCTGGTGGTGAATCTGGGCTCAGTTTGCATTAAACAGGAAAAATCAGTAGGTAGAGTGTTGCAGAATGGAGAGGGGTTGGCGTTCAGTGCTAGCTGTATTTTACCCATAGAAAAGCCCATACTTTAGGCTCTGGAGTGAAACTACAAACAACACTGACAGAAGAAAGTGTGTTTCTTTCAGGGCGGACTGACAACTCATGGGGCCCCCTGGCAATAGGGGATCATGGGGCCCCTGTGTCCTTGCCCAAACTCAAAAAAGCCTATGAAAAAGGTACCAGGGGCATTTCATGGGGCCCCCTACTGACCCCGGGCCCTTGGGCAGTGCCCGAGTTTTTTACAGTACTTTCACTTTCAATGATAACAGTAAACAGGAAAATAGAAAGAGTAAATGTCCTTAATGTTGGCACAAACAGCAATTCAAACTGACAGGTGTTCTAATTCCTCTCCACTCTATCCAAAACGAAAAGAAAAATGGTTTGCCTTTAGTTACACATTAATCCTTATCATAATTCTAAAGGCTGAGAGGGTTAAATGAGAAAAGATCCAGGTGTCACTACTGGACACATCCCTTTGGTGACCCAATGCTTGATGACCTTTTTTTGCCAGGATGTATGAAGAGCTTTGTAAATGTCCTGAAGTGTTTTACAACCTTACCTGAATGTCTATCTCCATATTTGATGCTCTAATTTAATGGATGAAACCCAGAACAACCCATATCAACCCATATCAATACTAACATGAGAAGTGTTTCTACTGAGGAAGAACTCCTGGTCACACTTAGGTATGCGCAAATAAAAATAAAAACATGAAATGTATGTACTGTAAATGCAAATATCATCCCTTTGTGATAATACTTTGATGTATTGTTAAACTTTGCCTCACACTGTTTTTCATTTAATAACAGATGTTAAAGTAATATATTTAATAATAATATAATCACATAACTAACAGACTGTTAGTACAGGTAAAATGTAACTAAGCAATTAGGATGGCTATTAAAGAGCATGTAAACATTTGATATGAAAATACAGCACTTATAAATTCATGCAAATACTGCTGAATGTCACTGAACAATCTCCTTGGTTGCAAATTTATGTTGTTTAAGGGCAAAAGTGAAGTTACGATTTATAAACATATGCAATCAAATCAATGTATAATGATTTGCATGACATCCAGCAATGTAGCTTTGTGGCAAATCAGAGGGATGTACATATTGTTGTGGTCTCTATTTCAAATTAATTTTGCCATTAGCTCAAATGTAAAAATTGAGATTGCCAATGATGTGCTTTAATACCTGAGCATCTCTCCTCACAGGGAAATACATTGCAACCTTTATTCTTTTTATTAAAAGCTTTTTTTCCTACAGAAAATCTTTACATTTAATCTTTGCTTTAAAATTACCTAAAGTCAATGGAGTCAATTACAATTATTGATTTACAGTGGAGACATTCACCTTCCTTTGGTTTATCAAATCAAGCCTATTTTCCTTAGAGACTGGTAATCAAGTCATTGATATTACACTACTCATTTTAATTTTAAATTCCTCTATCTGCCTCCTTTTAAAGAAATCCATTCTTTATTTCTTGCTGTATATGTACGCTAGATAATCCCTCTCTATTTCTTCTATAGCTCTTGTATAAAGTTGCTTTACTCTCATTTCTACTATTGAATGTTCTGGTTGTTCCTTATATTGACTTCCAAAAATGTACTCAACGTAAATGTGTATAAACACCCCTTTCATGCTCACATGCTTTGCAAATTATAATGTGGCTTTTTCAGGGCAACCAAAATTGATTGAGCATACCCAAGTGTTTAGAGCAAAATTGAAAAACAACATGAGTTGATAGATTAAAGGAGGGTAAAGGTCTTCGCTATTTTTACTCAACAGTTGTAATCAACTATATAGAAACCTAAGATCTAATGCACTCGGTGTACCGCACAATTGCAGCACTATGTATATCCAGATACTGGATAATTAACTAAAACACCAAAATAGTGCACAAAACCATGTGAAAACTGAATTATACATGTTACTGAATTATACATGTGCACAAAATTAATTTCTGCTGTATTTGCAACAATAAAAATTATTTTTAAAAAAATCAGTGATTACACAAAAATAAAGTATATTCAAATCTCAGATTTACACTGATAATCAGGGCACTGATCATCAGTTATGTGATCATCAGTGCAGCCCCACCAGTGCAGCTTATAAGTGTCTATCAGTGCAGCATATCAGTGCCCAATGGTGTTGCTTATCAGTGCCCATCGGTTTCACCTATCAGTGCCCATCAGTGTTGCCTATCAGTGCCCATCTGTGCAGTCTCATCAGTGGCTCCTCATCAGTGCCCTTAAGTGTAGCTTATCAGTGCCCATCAGTGCCACCTCATCAGTGCAGACTCATCAGTGCCCATCAATGCAACCTCATCAGTGCCCCTCAGTGCAGCCTCATCAGTGCACATCACTGCAGCCTAATCAGTGCCACCTGTCAGTGCCCCTATCAGTTTCCATCAGTGCATCCTCATCAGTGCCCATCAGTACAGCCCAGGGGCGGACTGACCATTTGGAAACCCTAGGGCCGGGGTCAGTAGGGGGCCCCATGAGATGCCCCTGGTACCTTTTTCATAGGCGTTTTTGAGTTTGGGCAAGGACACAGGGGCCCCATGATCCCCTATTGCCCAGGGGCTCCATGAGTTGTCAGTCCGCCCCTGGTACAGCCTCATCAGTTCCCATCAGTGAAGCCTTATCAGTGTCCATCAGTGCAGCCTCATCAGCGCACATCAGTGCAGCCTATAGTGTTCATCAGTGCAGTCTATCATTGTCCATCCATGCAGCCTCATCAGCCCACATCACTGAAGAAAAAAAATATTTATTTGCAAAATTTTATAACAGAAACCAAGAAAAACTTATTTTAAAAAAATATTATTGGTATGGTTTTTTGTTTGTTTAGCAAACATCAAAAAACCCAGTGGTGATTAAATACCACCAATAGAAAGCTCTATCTGTCTAAAAAAAATAGTGTTCATTTCATTCTTATTTTGTATAGCGTTGACCTGCAATCCTCATTCAAAGTGCTATGGTACTGAAAGCTAAAAATTGGCCTTGGCACAAAGAGGGTGAAAGTTCCCCATAATGAAGTGGTTAAAGGCATTATATGCTTTCAAATATTTTGGAATGAATTGAAAAGGTTTGCCCTAGTATACAGTGTGCATAAAGGTCAATAAATGACAACATGAAACTACATGATCATTGCAAATCTTATGCAGATAAAAGCACAAGGTGCAGGCAGGAAGGTTTATAATGCCTTTCAAAATAATGTTTTATTGTCCAGTTGGTAAAATGTGCAGATGTTGGTAAAGCACATCATTGGCAACCTCAGGTTTTTTTTTCATAAACATTTTATTTACATTGTAATTTCAGGATACAAGTACAAGTTACAACTGTTGTTCGAGAAAGAGTCAAAGAAAATAAACAAACAAAGGATTAACAGATGTATAAAGGAAGCACAATACAAAAAATGTCCTACAATAAAAATTGTAGGATGGTAACCATAAGATGGTATATGGTATATAGTACCCCAAACCATAAGCTATATAATAGCAGTTAAACAGAAAATCTCCCAGTAATGACAGGGTAATATCCATGTAACGAACCTCATAGCACAGGAATGCTATGAAAGTGCCAGGAAAGTGTTGGACCATACAGAAGTTCCTTAAAAGGTTATATTAGAGGGAGATGCCTGGCAGGAGTCATGTGGTAGCAGGGGAAGAAAAAGAGATTGCAAGACAGGAGAAAAGAAAAAAAAAAGGAAAAAGGGGGGGTTTATCAAGGGGGCAGGACGAGGAGGGTGAAAAGGGGAAAAGAAGAAAAAAACCCTACCCACCCCCCTCCTCCAAAATGGCTCCCAGAAGGGGACAGCAATCAGTCTTGGGATATAATGATCAATTTCTCCATCTCTTTTATTTATTCTAGTGAACCATTCTTTGATCAAGGACACACGGGTAAATTGCCAATGAACCAAAATGCAAAGTCTAGCCGCATTGATCAAATGCATAGCTAGTGATTTTCTATAGTGTATTTTAGAAAGAGATGTATGGTGTAATAAATATTGTTCAGATGTGAAATCCAAGGTGTATGTGGTAACTAGCGGGATAATATCATGGACCAGACCCCAAAAAGGGCGGAGTTTCTCACACGCCCACCAGATGTGGAGCATCCTATGCCACATATCTAGCATGTGTTCGGCCTAGCAGGTGAGAACTTCTGTAGGAGAGCAGGAGTTCTATACCAGTAGGTTTGAATTTTGTAACAGTTCTCCTGAATGGCCACATTGAGGAACCCCTTATGAGAATATTAATCTATGACAGACCAGTCCTCATCTGTAAGGGCATTTTTCCCACATTTGCCTAGCATGGTCCAGAGGCATAGGAATGGCCTGAAGCAGTAAAGAATAAATCGTGGAAATTTTTGAGGGATAAAGACTCAAACAAGGTCTAGACCACTGCACTGCAAATCTTGGTTGGGAGAGGAAGTGTCTCACTTGCAAGTATGTCCAAAATGATAGTTGATCATAGGAGAGAATATTTTGCTTAGTAAAAAAATAGTGTTCCTGGACATCCTTATGTGGCCATATCACGGCTAGAAAAGAATTGGACAATCCCGGGGGAAAGTCTGGATTGCCCACACACCGATATTAGGGGACCAGGATGTGTCAAAAGGGTAGAGGATCTGAAGGCTTGTCCAAAGCTAGTTATGGTGGGGCCAATGAGGGGGTGGGTGAGAAGGGCAGGAGAGGTGCATCTAGGGAGAAGCCAGGGGAGCAGGAACAAAGGGAGGGATGCAAAGGAGTTTTCCAGGTGGACCCATGATTTCCTAAGAGAATTATAATTCCAGTTCACTATTCTGGTGAAAAGGCATGTAAGATGGTATTTGTGGAGGTCTGGAAGGCCAATCCCTCCCTAGAGTTTCGGCAGGGTAAGACGGAAGAAGTTAATGCAAGGAGGAGAGTTCTTCTAAGCAAAGTGCAATTTTTTTTGTGGAGGTAGGTGAAAGGAAGATCAGTATGGTTTGCATTAAGTAGAAAAAAACATTTACCCTCTTATCACACATTTGTGTGCCTCCCACAGTGTACAGTAGTTCCTAAGTCAAGAAGTGATGTATTGCACATTTTTTGCATCTTTCAAGAGAGATGCATTCAGCCTCCAAAACTGGAGTGGGCAGATTTCTCAGGGAAGACTAAGATCATTGTAATTGGATGGTGGGGAATTTCTGTCCTGATATCTTTTAATATGTGTGTTTGTCTGTGCTCACCTATCGGAGTCATCTGCTGTGTTTCTGGATTTATTTCCTTTCCTTCCATCACTTCCTGGCCCGCCTCCTTTTTTGTCTGCCTATATAGACATGCTCAGTCTAGGCCACTATACCTGAGCAACTTCCTAGTTGTCTGAGCTCCTGTGTGTTGCTATTGCCTGTATCCTGCATTGACTACACGTGTACCGACCACCAGCTTTGTTCTCTGACTGTGCTTGTTTTCCACCTGTCCTGACCTCGGCTAGTTTATTGGATTTCCGTTTGACTCCTCCCATTGTACTCTGCTCCCGCGAGCATTCTCCTCATCCTCAGCTGGGCATACCTGGGGGCCACGACCTGGTCCCAGCTTGCTGCAAGTCCATCCCCACCATCAGGGGCTCTGGTGAATAAGCAGTCTGCGGCTTAGACTCTGCGCCCTGGGGAACCCCAAGTTGAGTATCTACAAGGGCTCACTACCAGAGGTGCTGACACAGTAGCTTAGAATAGCTTTTTAGATGGAGTGGGTAAGGGTTAGAACTTCTGGCAAGTTTTTCCTGCTATCCATGACTCAGTTAGAAAGCTCCTTTCCTGTCTGGTAGTATATTGTCAGCAGGACCAGACGTGAGCAGACCTCTCCAACGGAAACACATACTACTACAAATAGTAACAGTAACAATAACTACGCTAAAGCAGAGAAAGGTTGGAATCCCTGTAAGATATTGTCATTTCTGTTCATGTTTCAAATTTCCCCACCTTCTGTCTAGTGAAACCATTTATTAGGAAAAGAAGTGAGGGTAAATCTTTTTAATGGAGCCCCATGCAGCAGTAAACATTTGACAAGAGCACTAATCTTACCTCAATCTATCTAAATCTAAAAAAGGTTTTGGCGTGACTTACACTTTCATCTCAATCATTTATTATTTATTAGGAAAGAGCTGGGGACTCTCTTGAGCTAAAAGTGGAACTTTAGTAGGATAAGTAAGTTCTGATAGATTTCTTCAGACTGGCCCCTTTTGCACGCATAGCTAAGTAAAACATTAAAAATAAGTTCCTATACTGTTTAAACAGTAGAACACTGTCTTACCCTGCTGTCAGGGATCCAGGTATGACCAGAGATGTGTGGACTGACACAGGGAAACAGCAGGCTTCAGAAATGATTAAATAATAATAATATTTATTATGAGCTGCACAAAATAAACAAACACAGTGCAAAACAAAACAAACCTTAAACTAATAGGTACAGGTGCAGTCAGGGATGGAGAGGTGGAGTGGTCAAGCAGGCCGGGTCAGGAACAATCAGGCAGAAAAGTACAATGGGAGCAGGCAGAAGAATGGTCAGGATTAGCCGGGGTCAGTGCAGGCGGAGTTCTATCAGAGTCAGAGTCAAGCAGGAGAGTCGAAGTAGGCAGGAGACAGGATACAGGAAACAGGGCACATGAGAAACAAACACCAAGGCACTGACTGCAGGTCTGGCCATTCCTTAAATACACCTCCTGCAATCAGCCTCAGGTGATGGCTGATTGCAGGAGTGAGCTTCTGGTTGCTGAGAGCACCCGCTGGCCAGCCCTGGTACTGCAGCCCACAAGGCAGGTGAGTCCCACCACCATTGGCAAGTCCATTTCTGACACCTGCTCTGCACATGCTCAGTTGCCCTATGCTTTTTGGCACTGTGCAGAAAATGTAGAGGCTGATCTACTGACAACCTAAAGATTTACTGCTGCTCAGAGGCTCTGGGCTTCAGAACAATGACAGCCTCTAGAAAGAAGAAACAGGAACAATGCTCGAGACAAATTACATCACACACTAACTTTGGTAGCATAATGATTAATGTGGAATGCATTTTTCCTTGATAAAAAACATTATTTTCATCAAGTCGTTAGGGGTAAAGTTTTGCTTTAAGTCACTGAAGAAGGTAATGACTTTAAATGGTGTGATAAGAGCAATAGCTTGACAGGAGACTACATCATGCGCACCCAATACTAACTCATAAAAACTTTAAACTGTTACTTTCACAGCACAATTTTAAAGAATATTTCTCTTCTAAGTACATACTGAAAGATTTTATTATCCCACTAAAATTTCTAAGACATCTCTACACTCCACCATACCAAAATTTTGCATCATAAATCCTTAACTGTTCCCATTTATTCTCATCTCAGATCCTTGACATAAAATGTAATAACATTATAGATGACACTTACTAAACATCTCTAGTGCCACTCTCTTACTACATGTATTATGTTTCCTTTTATTAATGAAAATTCCTAATATTAAAGGAGCAGAAACAGGTTAACACTGGAGCTCTAAGCATGCATTTTTCCTTTGCTAGCATAAAAACCTAGCCTGACAGGCTAGATGATGAAAGGGATGGGTTCTGATGTTTAGCAGATAATTGCTTTCAATAGCCTATTTATGGGCAAAAGGTGACACATATAAATATCTGTCTCTGTATGTCCTATTAAGTATAAAACCTGTCAATATTAACACTTGAAATGCTCTTGAACCTCATGCTGCTGATTAGTCTTGATAGTTTTTTGGTGATTA